TTATGAATGTTGAATGTGTATACATAAAGTCCAAGGTGAAAAAATTGAAAAATCATTAAAATAGTGTTGTCATTGTGGGATTATGGTTAAATATTTTGTCTCAAATTCCTTGAATGATCTTTGGTGTTTTGGTATTAAATCTTATGTATGTATTTTTTCCATTAAAAATATAATACATATTCATAGCAAACTTTGGGAGATTCAGTAAAGTAGAAGGAAGTCACCCATATTCCCAGCATCTCATAATTAACTCCTGTTAACATCTGTCTGTGCACCTGTCTGATCATTAGGGCATTAATGATAAGTATGCATAGAGTCAAAGATGGGAAGAAATCTGGAAAATAATTAAGAAATAGTGGTGTGGTTGTGGGATTATGGTTAAATATTTTGTCTTGGTTTCCTTGAATAGTCTTAATCATAGTGTTTTGGTAATGCACCTTTATTACATGTATTTCCATTATAAACACAGAACGTGTTCATTGTAGAACCTTTGAAGTTGCAGAAATGTAGTAGAGAAACTCACCCATATTTTCATCATCCAAAGTCTGTGGTTAATTAACATCTTGATATATTTTTTCATCTTGTTTCTGTGCACAGGTTTTTGATTTGTTAATATGGTTGTGGTTTTATCTATCTGTAATAGTGTCAACAATAAAAATAAAGTTAAAAATAAGGTATTTCTCAGTCTCTCTTGTCTATTTTAAGAGTTTGGGATTATTAAATATAGTGGGGATTTTTTCATTAAAATTATGCATCCAGAATATTAGTGCCTTCTTAAAGTCTGCCTCACAAATGTTATTTCAGTTATCAGTATTGTATATTTCAACAGTTCTGAGGGCTTTTAACAACACTACATGATTCCACATTTTGAACTGCACTTCTGAAATTAAAACATCGTTAATAGCATTTTTAAATTTTGTAATAACCACAAGCATATTTTAGTTACTTGAGTTGGCATCTAAAATATTTTATTTAAATATGAGATTCAAGAAAGTGATTCCTTAACAAAAACATTAACGTTATGGTTAAGCATTTCTTTAAAGTTTGTATTCCTAAATCTTGCCTGAGGTTAGGTGTCATTTCCCTTTTTTTCCATTTCCCTTTTCCCTTTTTTTAAACCTGAACTCATCGCCAGAAATATTCCAGGAAATTTGGTAGGTTATCATCCCAGATAAATAGGTAGGTAATTTTTAAATATACTTATAATTTCATCATGACCAGAGGTTTTCAGTCAGGTTGCTATCTGGATAACCATTGGCTATGGCTGTGCATTGCACCATACACAATTTGGATTTAGCTCCTGTGGGATTTGACAATGGCAGAGTCCTGCATTCTTTCATATTCTCAGAACTTATTTATATTACAATGAAGATCCATTCTACTTTGGTTATCTCTTGTGGCATCTGACTCTGGTTACAGCTTGGATGATCCTATGAGAAGAACCATCAGTGTAGGTCATGGTGAGAGGGTCAGTTCTCGTATGATTGATTTCCCTAAGAGTACATTTTGGAAGGAAGTAGATTAAAGAAATGAAGTGTGGGTCATTGGGAGTTGCCTGGCTAGCACTTACACTCTTGGGAATTCCTCCACTCGAACCTCTGTTGCAGAGAAAACTACTCCCACACCACCATGTTTATTCCATGAGCTTTGATCCATCCCTGGCCTCAGCTGATTGGTACTCGTGGGATCCCATTGTCCAGACTCAGAGTAAGGGCTACCAGGGTAGTCAGATAGGCTGGGGCTGGGTGTGCTGATGAACAATCCTAGAATAAGGCCACATGCCAGAGGGAAGCTTGGTTCCTTGTGCCTCACCTACCCCAGTGCCATGTGAATCTTGGGTTCCCTAAGTCCTCCTGCATCTTTATTATTACCCCCATCTCACATGAGATGGCTTTGTTTTGCTGTAGTTTCTTCTGTTTTTACTAGCGCCAAATCCATTCCCTTTTCTGGGACTACTCAATTTTGCAAAAAAGCCACAGCACTCTGCCTTGCCCCTTCCAAAGGCTTAGCTAGATGTCATTCAGGCTCCTTGAACAGATGGGCACAGGAATTATTCCAATGTCAGCACTGACCTTTACCAATTTCTGTCACACAGGTAGCCAGAGCTGTGCTGGTAACCTGTGTTTCTTGAGGTCTTGTTTAGTTCTTCCTTTGATTCTCTGAGCCACCAATATGCTCCCAATCTATTTCTTTAAAAATATACATATTTATTTATTTTTAGAGAGAGGGGAAGGGAAGGAGAATAAGACAGAGAGAAACATCAATGTGTGGTTGCCTCTTGTGTCCCCTACTGGGGACCTGACCTGCAACCCAGGCATGTGCCCTGACTGGGAGTCAAACAGGTGACCCTTTGGTTCACAGGTGGTCACTCAGTCTACTGAGCCACACCAGCCAGGACCCAATCTATTTCTTGTTTGCTTATATTTACATGGCCAGAGTTAGTTATTTGTAACCCAAAGGAGCCCCAATATAGAAATTGATACAGATTGGTGTGATAAACACAAAACAATATACAGATGATGTAGTGTATAATTGTATACCTGAAAACTATATAATTTTATTAATCACTGTCACCTCAATAAATTCAATTTTTTTAAAAAAGAAACCAGTATAAAAATTGATACCAGAGAATTTTTTTTCAATTAAATATTGGATGTTGGGATAGGAAACTAGAAGATCTTGGCATGTGGAAGTAAAATACCTAACTATTGCCTGTGGTTGGTTATTTATAATCATCTGTGTCCTGGGATGAATAGCTGCTGTCAGAGACAAATCCAAAGACTATGCAGGGGTGTCCAACCTGCAGCCTGTGGGCCACATGTGGTCCAGGATGGCTATGAATGCAACCCAACACAAAATTGTAAATTTACTTAAAACCCTTTTTTTTCATCTGTTTTTTTAGTGTTTGTGTATTTAATGTGTGGCCCAAAACAACTCTTCTTCCAGTGTGACCCAGAGACGCCAGAAGGTTGTATACCCCTACAGAGAAAGAATGTCTAGATCAGAGGTATATGAGGGTATCTGTAAGCACCTCAATTCTGCAGCCAAATCCATAGCCTCACACTATTCCTATTATGAAAAATTTGGGTGGCCCTAGGGAAACAGGATTCTGACAGTCAGAATGGTGGTACCTAGGGGACTTGGAAAGATTGACATAACTCTGAAGCTCCAAACCCATCGAGATACTCATTTCACCAATTCCTTTCCACACCAGAGAAAATTGAGTAGGGTGCTGGTGGTTAAAATGTTTTCTGATCTCTGTGGTGATGGAAGGAACTCAAATATTGAAAAGGGGGTCACTTCTTATAGGAAGCATGGCTAGCAAAATCAGATCCTGAGGGAGTTCTGACACAGATTCTTGGGTGTCATGCCCCCCAAATGATTTACATGACAAAATAAGTAAAAGTCTAGGTTGGAAATAGGTGGACTAGGTCACCCACACTAGAGTCACAACCTCCTTGAAACAGTTTATAAACAGAGACCAGAACCCAGGGACCCTTGGGGTAGGACACTGCTAAACACTTCTGCCTTTCCCCTCACCTTCTGCAATGGGACCTGCAGCATTTTACACAGATAATTCTTTCATTGATAAAAAAAAAACTTTTCAAGGACCAGTAGATGTTGCATCTAAACAAACACTAATTCTTGGGGGAATGGGACACTGCAAGGGGAAAAGCAATTAAAATATAACTTTTTGTCTGCAGTCAAGCCAGCTCCCCAGAACTGGGCTATGGATCTCCTAGTTACACTGCCCAAATTCTTCACTGGGTTTAAGTCACAACCCCTGCCCTGCCTGCTTCAGGAAGACATGAGTGAGAAAGAAGCCAGGACTGGTACTATATCCACCAGCCAGACGTCTGGGGGCAGGTTGATCATACCCAGCTCCTTTAACCATACAAAAAGCAATATTTTATCTTCAATCAAACAGACACTTGTTCTGGGTGTAAATTCTCCTTTTCCTGCCCACCAGCCTCTACAACATCTTTAGGCTTACTGCATGCTTCATGTACCACTTTTGTACCATTTAGAACAATTAACAGTCATAGTAATGCTGCATAATGAGCAACCTCGAAACCTCAGACACACAATAAGTGTTTCTTTTTCACATATCTAAGATCAGCTGAAGATTGATTAAGTGGCTCTGCTTGTCTTTCTAGCTTGTTTACATGTCAAGGGGTTGGCTGGCTGTAAGGTAAAATAGGCTACTTTTAGCTGGGGGTGGGTGGGAGACTTATCCACATGTCTGTCATCCTTTTGAGACTAGTTGACTACCTCCTTATGGTGATGCAAGAAATGCAAGAGAACGAGTGGAAATATACAAGGCCTCTTGCACCTAGCCTTGGAATTTGTACCATCACTATTCCCAATTATATTCTATTGGCCAAACCAAATCACCTGGGGTGGGGAGTATACTCAACCTTAAAAGAAGAATTCTAAAGCCACATGACAAAGTTTTTCTTTAAATTTTTATTTATTGATTTGAGAGAGAAAGAAACAACAATTTGTTGTTTTACCCACTTATGCATTCAGTGGTTGATTCTTGTATGTGCCCTGACTGGGAATGGAACCCACAATCTTGGCATATCAGGACAATGCTCTTACCAACAGAGCTACCTGGCCAGGGCCAAAGTTTGCTTTGCATGAGCCAATGTAGAGGCAACAAATGCCCCAAACAGCAAGAATGGCCCCAGCAAGCTCCTTTCTCAGGAACTACACTCAGCATGTCGGCATCAAGCCATCATAACCTTGAACTGTGTCTATGGGCATCTGTGGATTAGCTTGACTTATTTTGTGTATCTATTTGCAAGATGTGTTCTAAGGTAATTATTTCTTCATTTTACACCATTTCAGCTTTTGAAAGGTTTAAAGGAACACTCTACTTCCACTACTTTCATATAGCAAGGGAAATAAGTACTAACAAACTGAATTCAATAGCACATTAAAAGGATCATATACCATGGCTTTCCTTTCTACTCTAGGCCCCAGTGGCTACTGTTGAAATGGGCAAATTTATGAAACCCAGGAAGGTAGTGCAGGTCTTGGCTTGTTGCTACTCCATATGCAAGGCGGTCATCATGAAGAACATTGATGATGACACATCAGACTGTCACTACAGGCATGCTCTGGTGGCTGGGATTGACCACTATCCCTGCAAAGTGACAGCTGCCATGAGCAAGAAGAAAACTGCCAAGAGGTCTATGATCAAGTCTTTCGTGAAAATTGATAATTACAATCACCTCATGCCTACAAGGTACTCTGTGGATATCCCCTCAGACAAAACTGTCGTCAACAAGGACATCTTCAGAGACCCTGCTCTGAAATGCAAGACTTGACAGGAGGACAAGGTCAAGTTTGAAGAGAGGTGCAAGACCTGCAAGAACAAATGGTTCTTCCAGAAGCTGCAGTTTTAGATCTTTTTTGTTTTGGCCATTAAAAATCCAAAAACGTTAAAAAAAAGAAAAGGATCATATACCATGATTGAGTGGGAGTTATTTCTGGAATGCAAGGATAATTCAACCACAACATAATAAAGGCCAAATATGACAAACCTACAACTGACATCATACTTAACAATGAAAAACTGAAAGCCTCTCTTCTAAGGTCAGGAACAAGGCAAGGATGCCCACTCTCACACACATCTATATAACTTAGTACTGACAATCCTAGACAGAGCAATCAGGCAAGAAAAAGAAATAAAAGGAATCTAAATTGTAAAGAAAAAATAAAAGTATTTTTTTTTACCATGCAGTGTAAGATATTCATAGGTTCTGGGATTAGGATGTAGATATCTTTGGGGACCCATTATTCTACCTCACTTGCCCCTCTTAGTTTGGAAAAGAAGGAAGAGACAAAATGTTCCCTACTGTTTTCTGGAGTAAGAAGGGGTGGAGCTGTCCTTCTGAATGTGTCTCTTAAGGTCAAATGTTGCCTAGATCAAGGGTTAAGAGCATCCTTCCTAGAACTAAGCTGAGTCTGGGTTCAAATCCAAGTTTACCATTTCATATGTACTCTGTGCTTTTATTTTCTGCAAAATAGAAACAATAATATCTCTCCAGGACTGCCTGCATAATCACAGGGCAGGGGGAGGGCAGTGTAAAATTAAAATGCAGGAATCTCATGTTCAGATTTATTAAGAATCCAGCCCTGACTGTTGTTGCTCAGTGGATTGAACACCCACCTGCAAACCAAAGGGTTGTGGGTTCAATTCCCAGTCAGGGAACATACCTGGGTTGCAGGCCACGAGGCCACGTCCCCAGTGGGGGGTGCGTGAGAAGCAACCACACATTGATATTTCTCTCCCTGTCTTTCTCTTGTTTATGCTATTATGGTTGTCCTTCCCCTCTCTCTAAAAATAAATAAAATCTTTTTAAAAATAAAAAAGAGCCCTGGCTGGCATAGCTCAGTGGATTGAGCGCGGGCTGGGAACCAAAGTGTCCCAGGTTTGATTCCCAGCCAGGGTACATTCCTGGGTTGCAGGCCATAACCCCCAGCAACTGCACATTGATGTTTCTCTCTCTCCCTCTCTCTCTCTCTCCCTCCCTCCCTCCTTCCCTCTCCCTTCCCTCCCTAAAAATAAATAAATAAAATCTTTAAAAAATTATTTAAAAAAAATAAAAAAGAATTCCAGACATGCACAGCAGAGCATAAAACCTACCTAGGGACACACCTTCACTCCCATCCACCACAGCTAGGAAAAAGAGGTGTTCTGGGGCTTGGGTGTGGTAGCAGATGGGGCTGGTGATACAGATTCTCCTCTCTCTCCACCTTCTCAAACAACCAGGGAATGCATGTCTCAATGGTCTGCAACTACCATCCAACTGAACTGTGAGAGAGGGAATAAGAGCCCTGTCTCACCTCATACTTTGTGGCACAATCCTCCTGAGTGAGAGGCATGGACCTCTTCAGGCAGTGAATCTGACCTGGACCTGAAGGAATGCTACCTCCACCCAGCCCCATAAATCCAGGGAAGGGGTAGAGGGGACCACCCAGACCAAACCCCTCAAACGCCTTCTAGGGTCGAGTGTTCTTTCATGGGCTCCAGCCACTCTCCTCTTTTTTCACTTTTTCTTTTAAAAATGTTTTATTGTTTATGCTATTACAGTTGTCCCAATTCTTCCCCTTTTGCCCCCTCCACCCAGCCTGCCCTCACTTCCATAGTCAATCCCCACACATTGTCCATATCCATGGGTCCTTCATACATATTCTTTGACTTATTCCTTCACCTTCTTTCAATCAGTACCTTCCTCCCTCCTCCCCTTTTACTGCTTTCAGGCTGTTCCACGATTCTATGCCTCTGGTTCTGTTTTGCTCTTTAGATTCCTCTTTTTAAAATATATTTTATTGATTATGCTATTACAGTTGTCCCATTTCCCCCCCTTCACTCCCCTCTGCCCTACACACCCCCTCCCACCCAATTCCCCCCCTTTAGTTCATGTCCATGGGCCATATATATAAGTTCTTTGGCTTCTACATTTCCTATACTATTCTTACCCTCCCCCTGTCTATTTTCTACCTACCATCTATGATACTTATTCTCTGCACCTTTTCCCCCCTCCCCTTCCCACTCCCATGTTGATAACTCTCCATGTGATCTCCATTTCTGTGTTTCTGTTCCTGTTCTAGTTGTTTGCTTAGTTTGCTTTTTTTAGAGTGTGGTTGTTAATGATTGTGAGTTTGCTGTCATTTTACTGTTCATATTTTTTATCTTTTTCTTAGATAAATCCCTTTAACGTTTCATATAATAAGGGCTTGGTGATGCTGAACTCCTTTAACTTGACCTTATCTGGGGAGCACTTTATCTGCCCTTCCATTCTAAATGAAAGCTTTGCTGGATAGAGCAACCTTGGATGTAGGTCCTTGCCTTTCATGACTTGGAATACTGCTCTCCAGCCCTTCCTTGCCTGCAAAGTTTCTTTTGAGAAATTAGCTGACAGTCTTACGGGAACTCATTTGTAGGTAACTATCTCCTTTTCTCTTGCTGCTTCTAGGATTCTCTCCTTAATTTTCATCCTGGGTAATGTAATTATGATGTACCTTGGTGTGTTCCTCCTTGGGCCCAACTTCTTTGGGACTCTCTGAGCTTCCTTGACTTCCTGGAAGTTGATTTCCTTTGCCAGAATGGGGAAGTTCTGGCTGGTCCGATGGTAGTGGGTTACCAGAACTCAACTAAAGTTAGTGTCAGAATGGGGAAGTTCTCCTTTATTATTTGTTCAATAACTTTTCCACTTGTCGCTCTTCCTCTTCTCCTTCTGGTACCCCTATAATTCAGATGTTGGAACATTTAACGATGTCCTGGAAGTTCGTAAGCCTCTCCTCATTTTTTAAAAAATTCTTGTTTCTTTATTCTCTTCTGGTTGGATGTTTCTTTCTTCCTTCTGGTTCACACCGTTGTTTTGAGTCCCAGTTTCCTTCCCATCACTGTTGGTTCCCTGTACATTTTCCTTTATTTCACTTAGCGTAGCCTTCACTTTTTCATCTAATTTGTGACCAAATTCAGCCAATTCTGTGAGTATCCTGATTACCAGTGTTTCAAACTGTGCATCTGATAGGTTGGCTATCTCTTCATCACTTCGTGGTATTTTTTCTGGAGCTTTGATCTGTCCTTTCATTTGGGCCATTTTTTTTGTCTTGACACTCCTGTTGCATAGTGAGGGGCAGAGCCTTAGGTATTCAGCAGGGTGGGGCAACCCACGTCGCTGCCTTGTGACGCTGTATGTGGGCAGGGGTCCGAGAGGGAACAATGGTGCTCGCTCCGCTCTCTGCCGGATTTCAGTCATGTCCCCTGCTTCCCACCAGCAAATTGGGCCCTTCTGGTGATGATTCCTGTGTGGGTGGGTTTGTATATGTTCTAAGACCCTGTGGGTCTCTCCAATGAACTCTCCTGTGAGGCTGGGAATTTCTCCAGCTACCTCAACCCCCACAGGTGTTTTCAATCAGTGCTTTGAGGCTTTATTTTCCCTCGCTGGGGCCTTGGGTTGCGCAATCTGTCTCGCTCCCCAGTTGTTCCTCCTGGTTTATCTGCACACAGATGTGTGACCGCCCAGTCCACAATCTGCCGCCTCACTGGGTCTGCCCGCTACTGCCTTGCTGGTCAGCTGCAGCCTTGTGTCCCCTGCTCCACAATCTACTGCCTCACTGGGCTCCCCAGCCGCCACCTTGCTGCGAGTCCTCTCTGCCTGACTGCCTGTCTCCACCCCTCCTACTGGTTTGGATGTATGTGTCTTCTTGAACTCTTTGGTTGTCAGACTTCCATACAGTTCGATTTTCTGTCAGTTCTGATTGTTTGTTTGTTTGTTTTTTAAAATTGCTGTCCTTCTTTTGGTTGTGCGAGGAGGCACAGTGTGTCTACCTATGCCTCCATCTTGGCCAGAAGTTCTAGCTTCCTCTTATAAGAAGGATTATATGGTATTTGTCTTTCACAGACTGGCTTGTTTCATTTAGCATAATAGTCTCCAATTCTATCCCTGTTGTTGCAAAATGCAGGAATTCCTTCTTTCTTTCTGCTGCATCATATTCCATTGCATAGATGTACCACAGTGTTTTTTTTATCCACTCATCTACTGATGGGCACTTAGGCACTGTACTCTTTTAAACAAATCACATGTGTCCCCATCTCAGGGCCTTTCCACTAGCTGTTCCCTCTTCCTGGAATACGTCTCCTCCAGATATCTGTATGTTTCTTCTGAGGATATAGTGTGTGTGTATATATATAAAATTGATATCAGAGAGAGAGAGGAAGGGTGAGAAAGAGAGAGAGAAACATCGATTGGTTGCCTTCCATACATACCTGACTAAGGATGCAACCTAGGTATGTGCCCTGACTAGGAAGCAAACCTACAACCTTTTTGTTGAACAGGATGATACTCCAACCAACTGAGCACCCTGGCCAGGAGTCGATATGCCTTATTTCTTGGGATCCTTCAGAGCTTTGCCCCAATGTCCTCTATGCTCCTTGGCTACCCTGAAATTGCAACACTTCCCAAACACCTCCCACCTCCCACCCACCACATACCCCTGGCTATTTAATTTTTATTTGTAGTACTACTTTCCATCATATGATTCACTGTTTACCTTACTTATTTTTTGGTCTCTCTTTTGCATCAGAAAGGAAATGCCATGAGGTCAGTAGTTTATGTCTGTTTGGTCCCCTACTGTATCCTCAGCACCTTGATTGGTGCCTGGCAACAGATACTCAATAAATGTTAGTTAAAGAAGCAGTCAGGTACTCAGACTCTGGATCCAGACTTCACTGGACCGGACACCAGCTTTGACACTGGCCAACTATGTAGCCTTGAGCATGTATTTTAAACCTTCTGACCTCAGTTTCCTCATT